TTCATCGTACCGGTATGGATGCCCGATATCACCACTCCGTGCTTTTTGTTAGCATTGTTAGTGTGATTTCCGACCACACCCCCCATATGGAGAAAAAGTCTTCTTATCTTCCTCATTTCGTGGTGGATATCATGTGCCACTGTTATCACTAAAACATTGAGCGTCTCATTCCCTTAACTTTATATTTTCTCAGAGAAACAGCCATTCATTTTGTACTACGGTCTACGTTAAAAAAAACTTCATACCGGATTTTTAGTATTTCTCCCCCCTCAGACTCCCTATCGTTTACTATTTCAGTCGAGAAAAAACTATTCTAGTATTTTTTTCTCTTCTCGACTTCCATGATTAAGGCTCTTGCGCTGGGGGACGCTGAATACAATTTTTGATTACATGTTCGTAATCCATTTTGCAGGTTTGTGATTTGTAACCCATCGAGGTGCGAGATCTTTTCGTAATCCAGCGCGCGTGATTACTTCTACTTCCTAGCCTAGNCGCTGATACGGAGGATGCTGATACGGACAAGTTGCTGATACGTACTAGGATGCTGATAAGGACGCTGATACAGAGATGATGATACCTACGGAGGCTTGCTGATATGGAGAATGCTGATACAGAGGCTCACTGATACGGAGGATGATGCTGATACGAGTCACTGATACAAGCCGCTGATACGGAGGCTTGCTGATACGTGTTGCTGATACGGAGGTTTGTCGCTAATGATATGGAGGATGCTGATATGGAGGAGCCGGTGATATGGAGGATGCTGATACGGAGACTCGCTGATACAGTGTCCGCTGATAGCAGTTGCTGATATGAGTTGCTGATAGGAGTCGTTGATACGAGCTGTTGATACAAGCCATTGATATGAGCCGCTGATATGAGCTGCTGATATGGAGGATTCTGATACGAAGGAGCCACTGATACGGAGGATGCTGATACGGTGTCCGCTGATAGGAGTCGCTGATAGAAGTCACTGATACGAGCTGTTGATACAAGCCATTGATATGAGCCGCTGATATGAGCTGCTGATATGGAGGATTCTGATACGAAGGAGCCACTGATAAGGAGGATGCTGATACGGTGTCCGCTGATAGGAGTCGCTGATAGAAGTCACTGATACGAGTCGCTGATACAAGCCGTTGATACGAGCCGCTGATACAAGCTTCTGATATGGAGGATTCTGATACAAAGGAGCCACTGATACAGAGGATGCTGGTACGGAGGATGCTGATATGGTGTCTGCTGATACAAGCCGCTGATATGAGCTGCTGATACAGAGGATGCTGATACGGAGGAGGATGCTGATACAGAGGAGGATGCTGATACGGAGGATGCTGATACGGAGGATGCTGATACGGACGCTGATATGGATTTGGTTATACAGAGGCTCACTGATACGGGGGACGCTAACTGATATGGAGGCTCCCTGATACGGCTCGCTGATACAGAAATGCTGATACGGAAATGCTAATACAGAGATGATGATATGGAGGATGCTGATACGAGCCGCTGATACGAGCCCCTGATACGAGCCGCTGATACGAGCCGCTGATATGGAGGATGCTGTTACGAGCTGGTGATACAGAGGATGCTGTTACGAGCTGGTGATACGGAGGATGCTGATACKAGCTGGTGATACGAAGGATGCTGATACAAGTCGCTGATATGAGCCACTGATACGGAGGATGCTGATACGGAGAATCGTGCTGATACAGAGAATTGTGCTCATATGGAGGATGCTGATACAGAGGCTCGCTGATACGGTGTCATCTGATACAGTGTCGTCTGATACAGAGGATGCTGATACGGAGGATCCGGTGATATGGAGATGCTGATACACGAGCCGCTGATACAAGCCGCTGATACAAGCTGCTGTTACGGAGGATGCTGATACGACGCGAGCCCCTGATATGGAGGATGCTGATACGATGCGAGCCCCTGATACGAGCCGCTGATATGAGCCGCTGATACGGAGCTGCTGATATGGCGTTTGCTGATACGGAAATGCTGATACGGATATGCTGATATGGCGTCTGCTGATATGGAGGCTCACTGATACGAAAATGCTGATATGGAAGCTCACTGATAAGGGGGAGCCGCTGATACAAGCCGGTGATACGGAGGATGCTGATGCAGAGGATGCTGATACAAGCCAGTGATATGGAGGAGCCGGTGATACGGAGGATGGTCGTAAAAAAGAGTCGCTACTGTACTAACACACTAAAACAGTACTTCTACTGGGTCCTTTGCTACAGTTCAAGGCTTGTTCAATCAATAATCAAAGATATCTATCCATTGATACCAAGTACAGTGTATGAGATAGCATCCTCTGTATCAGCATCCTCTGTAACAGCGACTCGTATCAGCATCCTCCGTATCAGCATCCTCCGTATCAGCGTCCGTATCAGCGTCCGTATCAGCATCCTCTGTATCAGCAACACATATCAGGGGCTGTATCAGCATCCTCCATATCAGCATCCTTTGTAACAGCATCCTCTGTAACAGCATCCTCCATAACAGCGACTTGTATCAGCGTCAGTATCAGCATCCTCTGCATCATCATCCTCTGTATCAGCATCCTCCGTATCAGTGAGCATCCTCTGTACCAGTGAGCATCCTCCGTATCAATAAGCATCCTCCATATCAATAAGCATCCTCGGTATCAGCATCCTCTGTATCAGTGAGCCTCTGTATCAGTAGCGAGCCTCCGCATCAGCAGCTCATATCAGCGGCTCGTATCAGTGGCTTGTATCAGTGGCTTGTATCAGCAGCTCATATCAGCGGCTTGTATCAGCGGCTCGTATCAGCGGCTCGTATCAGCGGCTCGTATCAGCGGCTAGTATCAGCAGCTTGTATCAGTGGCTTGTATCAGCCACTCTAGCACCTCCATACTGAGTATACTGAGTTGTATTGGGTCATTCCCCTTAATCAAGATATGACCAATTTTCGTTGTATTATTGCATTCTGCTGCAGTATTCAATGGTTGAGAATGCAACTAAAAAGCTGCTGAATGGTTGGTAGGCAAGAAAAAGACATATCCCACTTGTCTCTGCATCCTCAGCAAGCCCCTGTATCAGCATCGTCTGTATCAGCATCCCCCTCCTCCTCCGTATCAGCAATTTGTATCAGCATACTCCTCTGTACATGATTGTTATCAGCAAGCCTCCGTATCAGCATACTCCCCTGTACTATCTTTATCAGCAATCCTCCGTATCAGCATAGCACAACTC